GAAAGATAAAAGAAAAGAAAAGGAAAAAAAAACGAAAATATATAAACCAGAGCAAAATAATCATAATAGCGACGACCGGCGATGATGATAGTAATCTAAATGTAAAGAGCAATTATCATAATTTCACAATCCTGCTCGCTAACGGCAATCCTCGATCGTCATTGACGCTATATAAAAAAGGAGCATAATATCGGTAATAAATTCAATATTATGATACCAATAAAAGCTCTTCCGAAGAACCAACTCGCACTCCGATTCATTACAGAAAAGCTATATATTATAGAAAACCGTCGTCCTTGCCTCTCGAGTACAAGCGCACCCGAGATGTGGAGTGTCTGTAGAGGTGAATGAGAGAGGGAGGACATTTGAAAGAAAAGAGGAGTAAAGAAGATATAGCGAATGGAGGGAAACGGGAGAGAAGGGGCGTAAGTGAAAGGGGGAGAGGGAGAGAAGGTCTTAAAGAAAGGGGGGGGGGGGGTGAGAAACGGGAGAGAGAGGAAGAGGAGGCCTCAGATAAAGGGAGGGGGAACGGGAGATATGACGTAAAAGAAAGGAGAGAAGGGAGAGAAGACGTAAGAAGAAGGGGGAAAGGAAGAGACGAGTTAAGAGGTATGGGGAGACTATAAGAAGTTGGGGGGGGGGGGATGAAGCTAAAGAAAAGAACAGAAAAATGGAGAATCAAAGTAAAAGTTTGGATGGAGCGGAGGGGCGGATGAAGAGAAAGAGGGAGAGGGAGAGGGAGATGGAGAGTGCGTGTGAGAGTGAGTGAGTGAGTTTTTGAGAGAGAGAGAGAGAGAGAGAAAGAGAGAGAGAGAGAGAGAGAGAGAGAGAGAGAGAGAGAGAGAGAGAGAGAGAGAGAGAGAGAGAGAGAGAGAGAGAGAGAGAGAGGGGGGGGGGGGGGGGGAGGGAGGGAGGGAGGGAGGGAGGGAGGGAGGGAGGGAGAGAGAGAGAGAGAGAGAGAGAGAGAGAGAGAGAGAGAGAGAGAGAGAGAGAGAGAGAGAGAGAGAGAGAGAGGAGAGAGAGAGAGAAAGAGAAACATGAAAGAAAGAAAGTAAAAGAAATAAGAGTCGTCAGCACAAAAAATGAAAGCTTTAAAACAAAGAGTAAATAAAAGGAAAAAGCAAAGAAAAATATTAAGAATATGAAGCTTGGCATGTGAGACGGAAACAAGAAAACTGAAAAGAAGAAAAAAATAAGAAAAAAATAGACATTTGGAAGCTCTGACGATTCTCGGCAAATGAAATAAAAATGATGGAAACGCGGAATGTGTCGAGAAATGGCGAGACAAAATAATGAAGAAAGAGAGAGAGGAAAGATGGAAATATAACGTCAGTTCCTGAGAGAAGCAAAAAAATAGAAAAAAAGAAAAGAAAGAAAAAAGAAGAAAAAAAATATATATACATTATATATATATATATATATATATATATATATATATATATATATATATATATATATATATATATATATATATATAAAGAAAAAGAGCATAAAGAGGTGCTTTCATGAATCAAGACCGGGAGACAAAGGAAGCAGAAAAGAAACGACGAAGTGGCAGAGAAAGAAAAAAGATAAAATAAAATAATAAAGGAGAGTTGGAGGACGGGATGCAGAAAACGAATAAACACGAGGAGATGGGACAGCAACACAATAACAGAGACGGCTATTGATGGCCTACACTAAACGAACAGCTGGGTAAACGGGACGCACTTGCGAGAATGCCTTTGGCTCCTAGATTTGCACGCACCCCCTTCCTTCCTTCCTCCCTCTTCCCTCCCTTCCTCGCCTTCTCTTCCTTTTTTCCTTCTTCCACCTCTTGCTTTCTTCCGTTCACGCACTTGCTCTTTTTTCTTTCATCATTGAATTCACCTCCAAAATTTCACACTTAAAGCCACTTCTTTACTCTCCTCCACCTCCTCTTTTTTTCTCCCCTTCTCCTCCTTCTCTTCCTATACCTTATCCTCCTATTCTTCTTCCTCCTCCTCCTCCCACTCCCAACCTACCCCACCTCCCTCTACCCCCTCCTCCCACTCGCTTTCCCAACACGATTCAGAAACTTAGGAGACTCGAGCTTACTCGACCAGGAACCTTCTTAAGAAGAACGCACGCGCGGTTTTGCAACCCGGAGATAACCTCCGACGCGCCAGCACAATCCCGGTGAAAATAACGGAGGAGGAGATTGGTGGAGTTCGAGGAGGAGCACGAGGAGGAGGAGGAGGAAATAATAATAATAAAAATGAGTAGATGAAAAATGAAAAAGAAGTATTAGACGAAGAAGTGGAAGAAGAAAGAGAAGAAAAGAGGAGGAAGGAGAAGAAGAACGTTAACAACAATGATGATGATGATGATGATGATGATGATGATGATGATGATGATGATGATATTGATAATGATGATGATGAGAATAACAGTAAGCAGAAGAATAAAAAAAACGAGAAGAAGTAGGAGAAGAAGAAGAAAAAAAAAGAAAAAGAGGAATCAGAAGATGAGATCTCTGAAG